GTGGTTGTTGGCTATTTTGTTTCAAACTAGAACATGAAGCATCTTGAAAATAAGATTTTATTTAAAAACAAATTCATACAATAAATTGTACAAGTTCATCTTTAATTTGGCATGAAATACATTTTACAAAAAGTAAAATGCCTCAAAAGGCATCCCAATATGGAGTGCCACACTGAAATCATTGAAATGTATACTTCTTCCCAAAATAATTGTCTTCCAACACTGTTTCTTCCACTACTGGTAGTGTTATAATTACGATACAGCACATAAACAAATTTAAAGGGCCAATCGTCCCACAAATGTGCAACTTGTTGACTTGCACACAAACTTCTACCTTTCTCAGGACTCCAGCTACAAGAGCTTTGCATTCAGGTATCAAGGTGCATCAAGCCTTGGTCTACCATTACACTTCACTTGTGCTGCTTGGTTTTCCCATCTATAGAAACTGCAGCACTTGGGGCTCAGACACAAAGGTGGATACAAACACTGGCAGGGCAAATAAGAGATTAAACGTAGTGGGTGAACCTGTATCCACCTACAAAATAATGAACCAATTTTGGAGTGTAATGACACTTTCAACTGCAATATTTTAAACGGTTTGAGGACTTGTCTGTTCTTGCAAAAGCATCTACCAATACCTTGGTAACAGAGCTGATGCAGATAGAAAATGAATCGCATAGCCTTTACAAAGTTTAATACATAAAGATATCATCCAGCATCATGGTCGGGCACAAAAATCTCACGATGCAGCTGGAAAAAAACATCTTATCCGATGCCTCACAAGGAGCATTAGTAAACCTAGATAGAATTTCATGCCACCACTCCACATACTTTACCAAGAGACATTACAATTCATGTGATCTATTATTGCACATACAAGAGAGACTCCATTACACATAAATTGAAACAGTTACATTTTGGAAAGAAAAGTGGATCATGCTTACAGCAAGACAATGTTCACAGATTTGTGATATTAAAGAAAATGTCCACTGATCTGTGCTTAGTTACCATACCAGTTATAATATTCACACACCAGTTCCCTAAAGTGAATTCAGTTTGTGATCCGTCAGCCAACTCCCTATAGAATAGTGATGCCACAAAGACTCTTATAAATATTTATATGGCACCCTTTTATAGTAAATTGCCACCCACTGACAACTCACAAATTGGCCCTCTCCAACACAAGGCATAGGTGCACTTCAAAAGAGCCAATTTGAGTTATCTTCCTCTTTTCCAAAGGATGAAATCTATTGTCCTATCCAATATGGATAATTGTAAGCCTGCGTAGGGCTATAGCACTGCATCCAGTTGAAGTAAGCCTGAGCTGGATCTTCAGAAGGGCAAGCCACATCAGGTACATTTGATATCTGTAAGAAAATGAACACCTTAGAATGACAAATATGACATTTGTACTGTACCACATTAACCCAATCACCAAGTACTATTGGGCTAGATATTACACAATACAGTACTGTGCAAAAGGTTTTTACATACTGAAACATTTTGCATAGTTTAATGCCACGAATAGTTTAATCAAAAAGCTTCCAAGAGTGCAGTAAAGAGAAAAGTGAAGACAGTATTTGGTTAAGAACCTTTTGCCACAGCAACAGTTTCATAAGTTGCGGATCTGGGAGAATTGCGGTGAAGTTCCCTCATATACAGTGACTGTTCTTTCCTTCCGTCTCTAAGTAATAGACTGGCCTAATAGTCAGGGCCATCTTTAATATTAATTGGGCCCTGGGCAAGATTTTCTTAATGGGCCCCACAACCCTCCATCACCTGCCCCCCCCTTTCCTACCCAGACCTCCCTATGTGCAATGGACTATGTCTATATTTGTAGAATGCATATGTTGAAAATGCATTGCATCATGCAGTAAGTGTTTGGGGACATGCAATTCCGATTTTGCTAATATAACCACACGTACTGGTACATTTGTTCTGTACTACTTAATAGAATAAGACTTTTGTGCCCTACACCTCATTCTCCTCTGCTGGGCCTGCTGGATCTATGTGACAGGCATCAGCTGGAAACCGCTACTAGCCGGTCTCACCACCAGCAGTGCCACTTTGCTTGTTCTGCCTGCTGCTCGGGCAAAAGAGATAGCTGCTGTGGGCCCCTGTAAATTATGGGGCCCAGGGCAGTTGCCCCTTTTGCCCTGCGGTAAAGACAGCCCTTCTAATAGTGTTAAGATCACAACATTGCGGGGGTCATATCTCTTGAAGAATTGCCAGTTCATTTTTGCGGCAACTAGCTTATGTTTTTGGACTTGTTTATGGTCCATTATGCTTTAGAATTAATTTGGGACTGACCAGACTCCATTCTGATTGAACTGTATGATACATAAGAACCTGCCTGTATCTCTCAGCAATTTAGGGGGGGGGGGGGGGGGGGGGGGCCAAATTTCGTCTTGCCTAGGGCAGCACGAAACCTAAATACACCGCTGCTCCTCGGCCGCTCTATAGCGGCAGCGGCTGATGAGAAGAGAGAACTGACA